ATCATAGTCATCATGGCGACAGAAAGTCTCAGTCTCCTATAGAGACAACTACATAACTATCGGTAGTTGACGCTGACATATATTGAATCACAGCTGTGTTCAAAAATAATATATATCCAATGAAGCCCCACAGAGCTTCGTTACTATTACCGTTGGCACTGGAATGAATCTTGACGACCTACAGAGGTGAATCAAATATACCGAGAAGAAAACAGCACATTTCTGCAATTACCAGTATATCCAGTTCCCAAAATAGAAATGTACATTGTTGAATTTATCACTAAAAGGTCTAATCAGCACACACTGTCCATGGTGCGCCAATTGCAAGTTTCTAGCGAATATAACATGTACGCTTCATTGACAACAAGATAGCACTATTTACTTTCAAACACTTCCTTGTAATTGTTTTCATATAGAATCACTCATCATTTCAAGACATCACTGAGATTTTACTTTAATATAAAATGAACGTGTATTTTTATATTTCAGATGAAATACTAGTAGTTATTTGTAATATTTTGATAATATTAATAATTTAGACTACTGGTCAGGTACATATTTGTAAATGTAAACAAAAAATGCAACCCTGTATGAATAGTATTGAAGATTATGCCATGCACCTTTTAGTCACACAGCATACAACACCAATTGTTTTTTGAAAAAATCATGACATAACAAGAAGCTTTCTAAACATGTATAATGGGTTACCAATTATATATGCGAATTTTATCACAATCACGTTGATATGTTAAGGGAATTCAAGCAGTAAGTACTACTACAGGTAATTTCAAATACAGGAATTTAAAAAAATTGAAAAAATCTTCAAAATAAGGTTAACCTTTGACCTTGTCCATTAAATAAAGAAATTACTGCACATATGTGGTGGAGTATACCACAATTGACTGATGATAGGGGTGGAAGCGTTATAACCGCAACACTTCACCACATCTGTCCACACACTCAATAAGATAACCACTCAGTTTAGTAGTTGACAACAATAATTACAACTTTCCATTACCTATCATGTAGGTCTTGTATTAAGCGCCAGGGATTAATTGTGTCTCTTTTCATTCACTAGTAAATCCCAGATCCAATATCCATGATGAATTATAAAATGAAAACACTCTCCACTGATATTTTATACTAAATGGCACTGCATTAAATTGTTTACATACTGTACTGCTTCTATTAAAGGGGCATACTGTACTACTTCTATTAAAGGGGCATACTGTACTGCTTCTATTAAAGGGGCATACTATACTGCTTCTGTTAAAGGGACATACTGTACTGCTTCTATTAAAGGGGCATACTGTACTGCTTCTATTGAAGGGGCATACTGTACTGCTTTTACTAAAGGGGGCATACGGTACTGCTTTTATTAAGGGGCATACTGTACTGCTTCTATAAAGGGGCATACTGTACTGCTTCTATTAAAGGGACATACTGTACTGCTTCTATAAAAGGGACATACTGTACTGCTTTTATTAAAGGGGCATATTGTACTGCTTCTATTAAAGGGGCTTACTGTATTGCTTCTATTAAAGGGACATACTGTACTGCTTCTATTAAAGAGGCATACTGTACTGCATCTGTTAAAGGGGCATACTGTATTGCTTCTATTAAAGGGGCATACTCTACTGCTTTTATTAAAGGGACATATTGTACTGGATACATTAAATAGAGCCACTGCATCACTTTGGTTAAAGGGTAGGACACGTGCACTAAATTTGCAATGTGACAACTGGTGAACAAACTATACTATGTGACTCACTTAATATTGTACAATAAATATATACTTAAAATCAGAATTGCTAGTAATTGGTTTATAGCTTTCCATTTCAATAATAAACAGTTTTTACATAAAACAATGTATGCTCAGAAAAAGCTCAGAACATAAAACATAAAGAAGAAAAGAAATTATTTCTAGAAAAAAACACACATTATATTCACAAATTTATGAATATATCTTTAATTTTATTTTCAGAAATAAATGGATTATTAATATATTCGTATCATATAGAAATTACTTACTTATAATTTCTAGTATCTGGTATTTTCCTGTCCGGTGACGTCTCATCACTTTTTACTTGGTTGAACTGGTTGCTTTTGTACGGGTCCTTGATCCCCGCATCTCTGGTCTTATCAATATAACTATTCACATCAAATATTTCTGCCAGCTCAAACTTCTCACTTGCATACTGCTGCAAAAACAAAACATAACGAAAGGTGTTAACGATTCATGATAAGGTTGTAATGAATGACGAAAGCTGCTTGACGCAATCAACAATCTCCTTTTATAAAGTGGACATTTATTTCAAGCACGAAGTAATGGGAGTTGCAAAAGAATAGAGAGATTGGATGTAAAGAATGACTGGACATCAACACAATTTATTTGCTTTTTTTCTGTTTTTGCTTTTACTTCGTGATGTACACTTTCGTAAACAAAGACAAATATAATATTCACGAAATACATATTTTGTCCCCACTTCTATATCGTTTTATTTAAACTACACCTTGTGATGAATAATAAATGAACTTGCTACCTTAAGATAGAAACGAGATGCTGATGAGGATGAGGGCGATTATACCAACTCATCCATCATATGGTTAAAATCTCATTCCATCTAAGCAAAAGAGGGAAATTTCAATGAACCAAATGTTGATTTCAAATGGCATTCAACTCAACGTGGTAAAATCAAAGTGGCAATGTGCTGACTCATTTATTCACTGCTATTGAAATGGTTCAAGTGATGCATTATCACTTCAATCTCAGGGCATATAATTCTACCTGGATTTACCGTTTATATAAGCGAGTTCGTTTCACATTGAGTTAATTAACTCAGTGCTTTGTAAGTCCCTAAAATAAATTACTGTTGTAGAGTATGGACATCAAACACAACAGATGTTCATAACTGTCACTATTGCTAAATAAAGCAATACTGTTCTGTATATACACACAGTACAGTTTATTTATCAAGGGTTTCCAAGGTTCAGCAGTACCAGTTATGGACTTTTCTTGTGCGCCAGGTGGTTGTACAAATTGGTAATCATGTCAACTGTCTTTGAATCAGAAAAGCTTACCCTGGCATTTATTTCACAATTATGCATCAGAAAGTATAATGGAATGAAAGAAACAATTACTACGACCTTTAACAATTTTAGTATGATCTGACAGACG